GTTAGAATTTTGGAGGCCTTGTTTTAGGCAAGACCCGTCCGTATATATTGTGCCTCGAAGAGCCTCAGAGATGGGAAACTTATCGCGGGTTCACACAGACTGCCTCTGATGGCCAAAGCCAGTCCAAACTTTGTAAAAACCACCCAGCTTGGAGCGGGAATTTCGCTGGGTCCACCAGGACCTGGGCCTCAGCTTCATCGAAACATTCATCCCTAAGGGGTGCTGTACATGGGCGACTCACCAGTCCATGATGTAGATCGTCCGTGGGGTGTTCACATCGGCGCTCCGTTTCCGTGGGGTAGCCAGCCTTTTTCAAACATGTGTGGGTCCAGATACATTGGGTCAAAAACGCCAGGGGGGGTCGTTCTCTCAGGCTGCGGTAAACTCTGATCTTTCAAAACCCTTTTTGCCGTGGAGGTGTCGATGGACCCTTGGAGGCCGAGCTTCTTGGCGGCCTGCTCGTGCAACTGCTGGTCCCAGGCTTGCTGCAACCAAGTCTGGAGGGGGCTGGGCGACGTGGAAGTTAGGATATGAAGCCTCTGATCCTGATCGCGCATGGTGAACGGGCCTCGGTACTCTCTCCACGAACTCGGAGGGTTGTCGATGACAGCGGCAGCAAGAACACGAAGTTGGGGCTGATCAAGGCCAGGTGCATTCTGACTTATCATCGCTCTCCAGAACAACTGCGGCCATATAATAATTGGCCCAAAGCCTGGGCGCCACCACGGATCGCCTAGCAAACAAAGTGCCAACGTGCTGGACCTCGTTGTCGTTCCTGGACCTGCTATCTGAAGATAAGGCCTGCGAGTTGCTTTGGGTTCTTTGTTATCTAAGCCTGCCACTTCAGCTCCATAGAACTGGGCCTGTCCGAAGCCCGTGTTGTACAATTTTAGCGTTATGGCTCCAGCTCGCCTAACAGCTCGTATTCTGGCTAATCGACCTTTTAGCTTCGAATGTCGTTCACGAAGTTTAGAACTTGTCATGCCTTTACCTCTTTTCTGGCCAGCTCTCAAATCACCTCCTAGGTTAGCTGCGGGATGAGGGGCCGACCCTGCATATCTTCCAAGTGCTTTGGCAATCTGTTTCTGAAGATCAAACGCCGAGGCCAGCACAGCCGACTTGTTGATGGCTGTGAAGCGCTCCAGATCATGCTGGATCGCGCGCAGGAGGCTGGCGACAGCGCGCTTCAACTCTGCAACTACCTTGTTCTTACACCTGTTGGAGTAGAGGAGGAGGAGGCCATCTATGAACATGTGGAGGGAAACCTCGACGTTACTGGCCTAAATACCAAGAGACTCTATACACTACATCTGTACCAAGAAAGTGGCGAACCTGCAACCTGCGGGGATACCTTTAGTAGGATATCCAGCATACGATGTTTAGTTGTTAACCGATATCATTATCTGGCCTTGATATTGGTTTAGGATAAAAGACAATAGAGCTCCATTAAAACCAGTAGCTAGGGCTCGTCGGTGAAGCTTCTCTCTATTGACATGCTCGCAGTAGTTAGTTACATCCCACATGATTGACGCAGTGTGCAGCTCCTCCTGCTGGATGGCGCCGCAATCGGCCTTCAAAGATTGTTGGTAAACGAACTCCAAGATGGAACGCCCAGCTTGATGGGCTAACAACTATCGCCTATTCCTGCACTCCCAGCTTCTTGCTTCATCCTGTCTAATACGGCCCCAAACTCTGCAAACAGCAGGCATACGTCCAATGCCTCGATGGGACGGCCCGCCCCCTGAAGGTTTGTGTTTCGGGAGTAGATGTCGCTGCAAGAAGTTGAGATGACATGCAACCGACGCGCTCCACGCACATGAGCCTGCGCAAAAAACTTCTGCTGATCGCACGTCAGCAGCCTGGAGTGGCACGGGTGGGCGCCGTCCCACGCCTCCGCCGTGGCGCGGCTAAACTTCTTCAGGGCCCTCTTGAGCATGCTGGGGGTGATGCCTGGGAGCTTGAGGGCAGCGTGAGGATCTCCAGGGACCTTTTGACGAGGGGCCTGTTGAGATTCCCGCATCTTTGTTAAACGTCGGGCCTCTGAGTAGAGCAACTCCGTGGGGCTACCAGAGACATCCCCTCTGGCTGTCTTCGTTTTGGCTGGCTTCCCAGCCTGGGCGTTTTTGGCCCAACGATGTGCCCAACCAACTCCCGAGGTCATTTTTTTCCGATGCCCATTGCTTCCAAGATTGAATAGCCCCCAAAGACTCAGAGCTGTTCTCCTTATCCAAAAACTTCTTCACCTGGTCATGCATCTCCAAAAAGATGTCCCGAGCTCGTTCGGAGAAGCCTTCTGGACCCTGAACTTGAATGTCCTGCTGGAGGCTTTCGCCGAACGTGCGGGTCCCGTCGAGCAAGGCTGACGGTCCTCATTCGCGTGAAACTCGGCAGGCGGCTCTTCAAGCGCCTGCAGGATGTCCGGTTGCTCGTCGGCCTGCTTCCTGGCAATGGTACCTTGGATTTCCATCGCCTGATTGAGCAGCCAACGGACAGAGCGCCAGTACGACTTCCAGTCTACTCGGTGCTGACTTTCGACTGCCTTAGGTGATGACCAAATCAATTTACGGGGAGCGCATCTATGTCCAGGATGTTTGGTAACCGTATTTGTAGCTCTGCTAATAGTATGTAACACAGGGATCATAATGTTGGCCCCGAAAGCGAACTCCAATCGAACAGGGCGATGGGGGGAGATGAGATTGCTTTAGCACGTTGATAGACTGCACCGAACTCTTCAGACGCGAACCCATGATAAAGAAATCAATATTGCTGCGGGCCTTGCCTTAAAACATTGTGTACCCATCTGGATGCACCATCTCTAGGCCTGCGCGGCCACATACACCTGATGCCGTGATCATCGAAGGATTCATGTTGAAATCAGCGCCCATGAAAACAGGCGCCATGTACTTTTGCTGACGCCATCCTGCCGTAGCGAGCAGGTAGAGGTTGGTATTGCTGAGGCCCACAGAGTCCTCGAAGTAGGCGGCGACGAAACAAATCTGCTGGTGACCAGGGACCTCCAGAATCGCTGCAATGGCTCTGTGGGCTGGAATATATGGAGGAAGACCAGCGGGCTGGATGCCGATGTTGTAGCCGTCGCGCACCAGGATGCCTGTGCCGCTCATCGGGTAGCCGCTGTTGCTGTAGATGCAATCCGAGAAGATGGCCTTCCATCCTCGCTTCTCGCACCATTGAACTGCCTGCGCTAACTTGTCACATGAAAGCTTCACCTCTTGGCAAGGGATGACAAAGACCTTGTCCGACTCTTCTGCTTGTTCATACTGCTGGACGGATGCCCAGCAACTGCCATTGATTGTGACGGCGCCAAGGGTACAATATTTACCTTCGTTACCCGCCGTGCGGCGATGTCGCGGTTGTCGTGCCCTTCGCGTTTGCCTTGGCCGCTTGCTTCGCCTGCAAGAGCGCCGCCCTAGCCTTCTTGGCCTCCTGGTCGGAGCTCTGGATCGGGATCTGCCCCGGCGCCTGCTCCAGCGAGTTCACCTCGCTGGCGGGCCTCTTCTGCATTGCCTGGGTGTTCTGGGCCTTGACGTCCATGGCGGTGGGCGGCTCCGTCTGCGTCGGGTCCTCCGTCTCGCCGACCTTGGGGAACACAACTGGCGACGGTGGAGCACCTGTGTGGCCTGGCTCGCCCTCCACGGGGGCCGCGGCTTGCGAGAGCTCCTGCAGCGCTGGCTTAGCAGGTTGCGGCGGCTGCTCAGCCTGCGCTGCAGGATGCGCGCCGTCTCCAGCGCCTGCCCCCGCAATAGCTGCCGCGGCCCCCGTATGGCCTTGGTGCACCTTCTCGACTGCCGCCTGGATGCTCTCCTCCAGCGAGCGGACCTGCTGCTGGATGTGCAGCGGCACGTCCGAGACTGGCCCCACAGCCAACTGCTCCATGAACTGGTTGAGCTTCGGGAGCGGCGATGTCTTGTTCGGATGTGGAACTGCCGCTGCTGCTGAATGAACTGTACCTGCATGCTGTGCCTCCAGCTGTTGCACCTCCTCCCGCATGGTGGCGATTGATGACTGGAGTTCAGCATATTCATCTGCCAAAACTGCGAGCTGCTCAAGTTTCTCAGAGGAGTCGTTCTCGGCTTTCTGAATTCGCTCCTTCGTGCGCTCGATCTGGTCTCGCAGCGACTGCGCCTGCTGGTCGAGCGGCTTCTTCTTGAGCACTGTCTGCTTTGCGGCCTTGAGCTGCTGCACGGCCGCCTCGTAGTTGGTCCCTCCCACGCCCTCGTGCTCTTTCCAGAACTGGACAAGGTCCAGGTAGGCGGCGATGTCGGGCGTAGTTGGAGCTGCTGATGATGATGCTTGTTCGTCTGGTTTGGCGGCGTCGTCTGGCACTCCCTGCTGCTTGTCATTCCCCCGAATGCCTCGAGCTGCGTGCTTGCCACCTTTCCAACGATTTGCACCTTCAGGCGGGGTTGTGGGTTGAGTTGATCCCTTATCATCTCGTCCTTTGCCTCGCCCCTGAAACTTTTTGCCGCGTCGATTGCAGTACTGACTCTGATCGCACCAGCCCCAGCCAGTGCATTGCGCATTGTTGCAAACGAAGTACTCGCGACGTTGCTGCTGGCTGTGCCCTCCACCTTTCTTTCTTGACTTCGCCATTGCCCTGTCACCAGAACTGCCCCAGCTAGGAGCAACAAAAAACTGATGGGCTGCAGGCGGATGCAGCGGGAAGGAGTGAAATAAATAATGTTGCCAGATGCACTGGGGCTTCCTGGAAGCCCGCGGAGTCAAGCTTGGGCCCCAACTCACTGGACCTGACCAGTGAGGCAAGCTTGAGCCAGGAGGAGGAGGTGGAGGAGGAGGAGGAGGAGGAGGAGGAGGAGGAGGAGGAGGAGGAGCAGGAGCAGGAGGAGCAGGAGGAGCAGGAGGAGGAGGAGGCGGAGGCGAAGGAGAAGGATGAGGAGGAGAGGGGCAGTGAGGAGTGAGCTTGGTGTGAGGAGGACCGGGAAGGAGCAGCGCCAACAGGGCTCCCTCTGCCCCGCCTCCAGGATGCGCTGGACGAGGCCAAGGCGCGCCCGCGTGCGAGTGCGCCCCGCCTGGGGGCGGGGCCGCCAGCTTCGCCCAGGGTCGACCGGTCCGAGGTCGGGAGCAGCGTGGTACTCAAGGGAGGGTGGGCTCGACTCGAGGGGGGGGAGCAGTCTTCAAGGGAGGATAGGCTCGACCCCAGGGAGGATCGCGGCTCGACTCCAGGCAGGCTCGACCCCAATGAGGATAGGCCCGGCTCGAGGGAGGATGGGCTCGACTCGAGGGAGGGTAGGTGGAAGGGGGAGCAATCCATGCATCCAAGGGTGCCGATGGTCCGTGCCTTCGGCGAGGCTCCCCAGCGAATGCGTGTGACGCCCGCCCCTGAGCAGTTCGCGCCGATCGTCGCCTCCGACTCGAGGCGGGGGGGGGACCGAGGCTCGAGGTTCGAGCTCTGGTCTCTATCATTCCTGTCCTCGCCTCCCCCCGCCCCTCCCTCCCTTTGTTTCTCACACTCTCTATCCTTCCATCCCTTCCCCTTGCTTCTCTCGCCCTGCTTCACACCGTTCCAACCACCTGCGGATTCTGTTCTCCTCTTCTCCCCTCTGCTCCGTCACGCTCTCCCGTCGCCCCTTCCATTCGTCCACCGCCCGCTTTTGTTCACACCCCTCCCTCCCTTCCTCCTTCCCTCTGCTCCTCTTCCTCAAATCCTCAAAGCTGGCGGCCTTTGTCCTGAGGTCAGGAGCGTCCGTCGCCCCCCTCCCCGCCACCGTCTAGGTGGTTGGGGGGGATATTAGTGAAAACGGCTCGGAGCTGCCTCCTCTTCCTCCTCCTCCTCCTCCTCCTCCCTCCCTCCCTCCTCCCTCCTGCCTCAGGCGTGGGCGGCACCCAACGGACAGTGGCATGCATGCTCGGCCACCTTTCATAACAGGCAGCACTTGGTGGACCACCTTGCTCCCGATTCCCCCCGACGCCTTCAGCGGCCCCATTATGGTGTTTTCGGTGCCGCGTCAACGATTCCAGGGGCATGCCCAGCATACCATGTTTCAGATCCGAACTTTGCCGCTAGCAGCGGAGGCAGGGCCTATGCAGTGGCCCGCGGAAGACGTCAAGTAATTGTCTCGAACATTCGAGCAGAAGGATCATTGACTGAGTATGCTACGGATGTGGCAAGATCGATACCTCAGGCAAATGCCCGATATGAGCTACTGGCGACAGAACCAACGGTGCCGATGTCCTCGATCGCTGTCCTATTGCCACCACCTGCCGCTGCTGTGCCAGACCAACTGCCCATAACCGAGTACTCTACGGAACGGGATCTTGCTAGCCTGTTCCTAACCGACATACATACACGGACCGCTAGTCAGAAGGTACTCAGGGGAGTGCAAAGGGCATTCTACTTGTGTCTTGAACATACATTCAGGACGCAGGAGGGCAGGTGACGTGCAGGCGCAGGTGGAGTGGGCTCATTACCTTTCAGCGTTTTCAGTAGTCTGACTGTATTTATAGCGATACATGAGACATTGGGTGACATTAGGAATTCCTCTAGGCTGTATATCTTGAAATATCACATCAGAGATGAACGCGTCGTGTTGCCGGGAGTTGGACTACCATGTGAGACATGGTCAGCTTCTAGGAGGGCCGACGGGTCTGGACCTCCCCCGCAACGTACACATGGCGAGCGTTGGTGCAAGTGGGTGGTGACACCACGTCAGATGGAGTAGCAACGAGTAGGCAACGCACAACCATGCGCCATGGCAAGTTTTTTTGCATAGCACATGGTGGCTTGTACGTGTGACTGGAGGTGACAGGCAGTCAGTTCGTTTACATGGCACCTACACCGTATTATCACATCGTCGCCAGCAGCCACATGTATTGACCTCGACCAATGTGAACATGGACAGGCGTCCAGAGCACCCACACGCATCCTTGCGTCGAGAATACCGGGCCTGCATTCCAGTTTCAAAGCTGGACCAGATAACAGGCGCTGCTCGCACGGTAGAAGGGGACTCGGCTTTGGTGCTGCCAGCCAGGACTGGAAGGCGGCCAAGGAATCACCCACCCACCACAGTTCTGCAATGGGTTGGCAGACTTTCCTTGCAGTTGCGGCGCCGTAAGCAATTTGAGACCAGACGGATCCAAATTCTTTCCCAGAATCCGAGGACCTCCGTGCTGCGTGGCATGTTTCTGTGTTTCTCGGGGCCCATCCCAAAGTATTGAGGGGTGGGCCCCAGATTTCGTTTCGAGGTCCCATGTCACCAGTCGGGTATAGACCCGGGGGCTGGACCGATCTGAGCCTTGGGCACGCGCTGCTGAAGCCCAAATCCCACCAAACTCGGCAGCAGACCCCACGGCGACACGCCGTCCAAGACGGCCCCTGGGACCACTGAGGAGCAGGAATCAAGGGAGGAAAAACCACCCAGACCAGATAGTTGGCGTACGGCCCTGGGCGTTTAACTATTAACAGCCCTGCCCTGTTCGATTCCTTCCGTGGGTGCGTTTACTGAACGGCTTCGCGTGTCGGGGTGCTTATATCATCGGGGGGGGATTTCCTGCCCTCTGAGGAGCACTCAGATGCGCTCGGCTTCTTGGATCTCTCTCAGCAGCCGGAGATTGCGCCGGCAGCTTCCTGCGCCCAACCCCCCGCCACCTCTCCGTGCCCCTCGCGGACGCAGGCAGGGAGAGCGCGGGGCGTGCGGGGCCGTCTTGTTGCCAGGGAGCGCAGGGCTGCAATGGCTGCTGCGGATCGGCTGAAGCGTTTGGCGGGAGTCTGTTGACCCAGAGCTTCTTGCAGGAATCTTCGGTCTGATTCGCGAGTGTGACCTCTCTGGGCGGCACGTCGACGGGTTTGCAGGTTTGGTGAGGTTGCTGTCTGGCATCCGCTGCTGCTGCTGCTGCTTCCGCCGTGGCCACCCCCCGCCGTGGCGCCGCCTCTGCTTCCCGCGCCCGCCCCCCCTCTCCTGAAGCCTCCCCTCCTGCCCTTCTCCTGCCGTGGGGCCCGCGTGCGCCAGGCTGGGGCTGTTGGGTCGCCCGACAGCGCGCCGCGCGTGCGAGCCCCCCCCCCCCCTAGAGTTGCGCCGCGCCGCGCCAGGCCGCCAGGTTCAGCAGCTCACCCGCAGCCCGCCGGCAGCCGCCAGCCTGCCATATGCCTCGCTTCCGTTTTCGTTCCAGGGGCCAGCGCGAGCCAGCCGGGGCTAGTTATTGGTGCACCCGAGAGCGCACCGCACGTTCGAGGCCCCCTTTTTTCCGTGCTGAGCTACCCCCCCCAGGTTCAGCCGCTCATCGGCAGCCGCCAGCCTGCCGCATGCGTCGCTATCGTTTTCTTTCCAGGGGCCCACGCGAGCACGCCAGGTGTTAGTGGTTCACCCGATGGCGCGCCACGCGTGCGAGGCCTTCATTGTACTATTCCGAGCTATCCCCCCGCCAGGTTCAGAACGTACCTCAGCCCGTGGCTTGCCTTTTTGATCAATCTCGCGCGCTGTTGCAGATGGAGCGAGCCATGTTCCTCCCCGCTAAGCTAGTTCGCCCTGGGCTGGTGGCAGGTGTCTACCAGCATGCAGTGCTTTGTAGGGACGGAGAGAGAGAGAGAGAGAGAGAGAGAGAGAGAGCGAGAGAGAGAGAGAGAGCCTGGCGGTGTGCGTGGGAAGCAGTGTGGCGTAGCCATTTTTGCGTTCTGCTCTGCCCTTACCATCCTGACAGCAGGCATTTGCCGTTGGCGCTGCATCCCGACAGGACTGGCATCGCACCGCTAAGTCTGCAAGGTAATCTATTCCCACTGCCTCCTTTCAGCTAGCTAGCCGCCGCTGGTCCGCCGTCGTCTCGCCTCGCGACGTGGATTGGGTGAGCATAACTTGCCCGCTTAGGTATTCAGGCCAGTCTACGCGCAGCGCGATCAGCGAGCATGTTTCTGCCGGCGGGGAAGAAGGGGCCTGTGCGAGCGGCGCGCGCGGACTGTGGGTGCTGCCGGCTTCCGTGATGTTTTCGAGTTTTCGTACAGTATTGCAGATAGGTGGAGTGGCCCGAGCTGTTTCCCGCCCAGCTGTTTCTCCCTGGCCTAGTGGCAGGCGTCCCAGCATGCAGTCCTCTGCGTGGTGAGACAGTCTGGCGGTGTGCAGTGTGCAGGGTCGGGCGGGTCTGGCAGCAGGTCTGGGAGCGCTCAGGGGATGCGGTCCCTGGGCGATGTCGAGACAGCTGTAGAGACAGTCTGGCGGCGTTCACGGTCTGGTCGGTCCGCTCGGTGCCCTCGTGGCCGGGGTAGCCATTTTGGCCTTCTGCCCTGCCCTGACCGACCCAGCAGCAGGCGTTCGCCGTCGGCGCTGCAGTCCAGGCGGCTGGATAAGTGCCGCACCCCTGCGTCCTGCAAGGTGATGCAGTCGTGCCGCCTCCTCTACAGCGTGCAGTCAGCCGCCGTTTGTCCGCCGCCACTTCGTCTCTTGCCGTGGCAAGGGGCAAGGGCGAGGATGCCTGGCTCGTTCAGGCCCCCAGCGAATGACCGCATGCGGTTGGCTGTTTACGCGGAGTGCGGCATGTTAGTTTGTTTTGCCTCAGTCTGCTCGGTGGCCTCGTGGCCAGTGTAACCATCTTGGCCCTGCCCTGACCAATCCATGTCTCTCGTGCCTCTGTGCGTAGTGACGGCATGTTGCGACCCCAGCCGTGCGAGCTCCCATCAAATCAGGCCGCGCGGGTAGCATCGGACAACCAGATCCGCACGGATGCACAGGATACGCGCGTTCTCGTCCAGGGGCCTAGTAAGGCCAGCGGAGCACGTGGTCTAGTGGCGGGTCTTGCCCACTCCGGCATCCTGCCCTGCCTTTGCCCGCCCAGCAGGAGACGTACGCCGTCGGCGCTGCAGTTCAATTGGTTCTGTGCCGCACCGTTCGTCCTGCAAGGTTGCAGTCAGCTGTCCAGTAGATCGCCGCCGCCGTTTCGTCTCGTGCCGTGGCAAGCGTGATAATCACTTGCCCGCTCAGGTACCCAACGAATGACCGCATGACATTGCCTGTCCATAGGCACTGCGGCATGCCAGCTTGTTTTGGCTCAGCATGTTTCTGCTTGTCCCCCTTGGCTAGCATCCGAGAGCCGCGGTGATCTACCTGTTTCTACAATTTCCCCAAGCGCAGCGATAGCCTTTCTGTTTCCGCCGCCATTGCGTTCGTGCTGCGCTGGGGCAAAGATAACTGCCCCACCCAGGTATTACGAACGACCGCAGAAGGCTATCTGCTCTAGACGGCATTTCGCTCGATGGCCTAGCTGGTACGGACTGCTCGCTCGACCCAAACCTTGGTGCCCCATCATATTCGTTGTTCATAAAGATTATGCGAGTTGCGTGCGGGGCTCTGCTGACAGGCTCCCAGATTCATTAGCTTCCAAATCCACTCAAAGCCATTGTCTGGTTCTTCCTCTTCCACACTGACCTCCTTTTCGTCCTCCTCCCCTCCTTCTCCCCGCCGTCCTCCGCCGCCCCCGCCTTCTCCATATTGCTCTCGTCCTCCTCCTCCTCTTCCTGCTGCTCCTTCTCCTCTTTCTCCCCCCTCCTCCTCGCGTCCCCCCCTCCTCCTCTCCCTCGCCTCCTCCTCCTCCTCCTCCTCCTCCTCCTCCTCATCATCATCATCATCATCATCCCCCGCCTTCCTTCTCGTCCTCGTCGTCTTCGTCCTCCTGCTCCCCCCCTCTGGAGAGCAGCTAGCAAACAAACATTCTTGCCCCTGCTCGCCTTCGTCACTTCCGGCAGGCGCTCCTCTTCGGCAGGTGCTACACGTCGTACGTGCTTATTGCGGCGATCGGTGTCGGCGGCCTGGTCGGCACCCGCGGGGAGCGGGAGGAGGAGGAGGAGGAGGAGGAGGAGGAGGAGGAGGAGGAGGAGGAGGAGGAGGAGGAGGACCAACGATGTTGCAATCCATCCTTATTCCAGGTTCCCTCTTCGTAGGCCCCTGCAAGAATCCATGTTCATGGCGTGAAGTGGCGTATTAGAAGACAGCTGTCCAAGAGTCCTCAATCGTGTGAGAGCACCAGTCCTGGGACCCCAACGCCGCGGATGAAAAGTGTTTGTCGCGTCCCGACAGTCGGAAGTCGTGCCAAAACGCCGTTCCTGAGACTTCAACACCGCGAATCAACGTGGCTGTGTCTTCCTAGCAATCCCAAGCCGTGCCAGAACACCATTTCTGGTACTTCAGCCATACGAGCCCTCGAAGCGGATGCAAACTTTTACAACGAATGTGCGCGGCGCTAAGGCGGTGACCACATTTTATAAACGACCCGCCGCCATTCGTGAAGCTGCTGCAACGATTACGACGAATTTGCGCGACGTTATGGTGATAGCCACAGTTTGAAGACCATCCACCATCCATCCTGGGAACTTTTGCAGATTTCAAGTTTCAGAATCAGAAGTGGTGAGGATGTCTCAGGCGAAACGCCCGGCCCGCCCCAGCGACACGTCTTGGGGGGCGACAGGAAGGACTTGTTTAAAAGGAAACGATGTGGTGATGACGTGATGACGATGATGACGACGATGCTTCTGATGCTGATGATGATGATGCTTCTGCTGCTGATGACGCTGATGCTGCTGATGATGATGATGATAATGGTGATGATGATGATGCTGATGATGATGATGATGGTGATATGATGATGATGATGATGATGATGATGATGATGGTGGTGGTGGTGGTGGTGGTGGTGGTGATGATGATGATGATGATGATGATGCTGATGATGATGATGATGATGATCAGGACGCTGGTGATAATAATTATGATGATGCTGCTGCTGATTATGATGATGCTACTGATGTCGTTGATGCTGCTGTTGTGTTGATGAGGAAGAGTATGCTCATGATTCTGATAATGAGGGCGATGCTGATGACGCTGATGAGGACGATGCTGACGACGATTATGATGTCTATGCTGCTGATGATGACGGTGTCGGTGGTGATGATCAGTGTTGATACTGATGTTGATGATGCTGATGATGATGACGATGATGATGATAATGCTGATGCTGCTGATGATGCTTATGTTGATGATGCTGATGATGATGCTGCTGCTGATGATGATGATCATGATGATGACGATGATCAGGATTATGATCATGCTGCTGATGATGATGTAGCTGCTGCTGCTGCTGATGATGATGATGATGATGTAGCTGCTGCTGCTGATGATGATGGTGATTATGATGATGATGCTGCTGATGATAATGATGCTGATGATGCTGATGCTGATGATGATGCTGCTGATGATGATGACGATGATGATGATGATGATGATGATGATGATGCTGGTGCTGATGATGATGATTATGATTCTGATGATTATGATGATGATGATGATGATGATGATGATGCTGATGCTGATGCTGATGATGATAATGATGGGTGATGGTGATGATGATGATGATGATGATGATGATGATTGATGAAATGATGATGATGATGATGATGATGATGATGATGATGATGATGATGATGATGAATGATGATGATGATGATGATATGTATGAAGATGCTGATGATGAAAGATATGATGATGAAGAGATGATGAAGATGTTTGATGTTGAAGATGAATGATGATGGAAAGATGATGATAGAAGAATGATGAAAGATGATGATATGAAGATGATAGATGATGATGAGGATGATGATGATGATGATGATGATGATTGATGAAATATGTAAGGAGGAGGAGAGGTAGGGAGGGAGGAGGAGGAGGAGAGGAGGAGTAGGAGGGAAGGAGGGAGGAAGGAGGAGGAGGAGGAGGAGGAGGAGGAGGAGGAGGAGGAGGAGGAGGAGCAGAAGGAGGAGGATGGGGAGGAGGAGGAGGAGGAGGAGGAGGAGGAGGAACGAGAGGAGGAGGAGGGAGGAGGAAGGAGGGAGGAGGTGGATTAGATTATACGATGCGCTGCGCGCTGCTCCCTACAGCCACTTGAGCAGATTTATTTCCCTGAGTATCTTCGTGCGGGCAGGCTCTCGACCATCCTCGAGCGCTCTCCAAGTGCTCAAGCCCCGTTCTGGTGGGGGCCTGGCACTCCTGCACAGGTTTCGCGCTCCGTCTGTAGCAGTCCCTGCCCAGGTCACCGCATCCGGAACAGGCTAGAATGAGCTCCTTTCGAGACACGAGCCCGACTTCCCGCCACCTCATCGAGTGCGACGGGTGCGCAGTGGAGCACCCTCGCGCAGGCCCCACCTCCCGCCGGGCCTGCCTGCTTAGATCGCGGAGGGCTGGAAGAGCCCAGGGTCTCCCGAGCCACTTAATCACAGCACCCCTGGTCCTGGCTGGCTTGGTACCGCACGCACGACACCGCCAACGACGCTGACGACTGGATCCCACGACAGGACGGTGCAAGGCTTCCGCTAGGGCGCGCGGCAGGGCGAGCTTCGGCTTTGCCGTGCCCAACGCCATCTGCACGTCCCTGTCTGGACGGCTCGCTGACATCTCGGTCAAAATGGCGGCACCCCTTCTACGGACATCCCTATGCTCCAGCTCCAACTCACGAAGTGTCTCCGAGAATCCTGACGGGACCTTGGCTCCTGGGGCGTATTTGTCAGGAAGCTTATTGGCGAGGATGTTCTACCGGAAAAGCGCCTGCATGCCTGGCGAGGCACTCTCACCAGCCTCAGAGGAAACATGATTCTCGACCTTGATGAGATCAATGTCTCTTCCTCGAGAGATTGTCCAAGCCAGGTTCTAAAGATCTCGGTTCGTCTTTGGCTTCCATTTCGCCTGGGCTCGCAATCTAAACAGACATCGCTGCACATACGCACTGTCCAAAACGTACGTTAAATGTCTCCCCTCGGTGGCCAACCTGGCCTCTGAAAAAGCAAACAGCTCAGCTCGATTGTTGCCTTGGCTACTTGCTGGGAGGTCTCCGCCGAAATCCCCAGCTTCTCGACTCGGGATCCCGACCCTCTAGGTGTCCCGAGAAGTGTCCCCCCCGAAGAATCCCCACCCAGCCGGCCAGACTTTCCCCTCATCCCGCAGGCCCCCGAGGAGGGGGTGGGGCCCAACTCCCAATAGGGTGGTGGGAGGGCGGATCGCTTTCTATCTCTTGTCCCCGCTCTTTCCCCCTTTCCTCCTTCATTCTGTGGCACCTTGAGCGCGTGCGGCTCATTTGTATCTCTCGTAGATACTTATTCGTGCAGTCTGTTCGGTGACTTCAGCTTGCAGTGGTTGTTGTTGTTGTTGTTGTTGTTGTTGTTGTTGTTGTTGTTGTTGTTGTTGTGGTTGTTGTTGTTGTTGTCGTTGTTGTCGTTGTTGTTGTTCTTGTTGTTGTTGCTGTTGTTGTTGTTGTTGTTGTTGTTGTTGATGTTGTTGTTGTGGAAGGGTCGAGCTGGATCTCCAGCTCGTCTGGCGGCCCGGGGACAGAAGTCTGCTCCTTGGGGATCATATGTCCCTCACTCAGCCAGTAGCACGGGCGAGCTGCTGCCCCTGCTATATTGCCCGCTCTTGCTTGAATGCTGAGTGGCCTGGCAACTGGAACTTTTTTTTGAAGTCGGGCACGTCCTACAGGAGCAATATTCAAAACTAGCCTGGGGACGATTGTTTTTTTGAATATTTCGACCATTTTGGTTTTCGTTTCGATTATTTTCTATTTTTCGTCCAACATCCCCTTGGAGGACGCCCTACCTAACCTAACATTTTTTCAATTTTCCGCGTAGGTTCAGCAGCGGTGAAGGTCAGTCTCAGGCTCGCGGCCGCACCTCGCACAATCGCACAAACGTTACTCTCGTCCTTCACTTGCTGGTGCCCCTCTTGGCCATCGCTCACAAAGCTTTGAGTGCGTCAGTGGTCTCTGCACCCTGCTCCAGACCCTTGTCGTTATGATGTTTGTCCGCAGCCTTCCAGCAAGGCAGTCTCAAGGTCTCCCCATACACTTCTAGAACAACTTCTCAATCGGTGTCGCCCTCCAGCAGTCCGTCTTGGACCGCGTACCTGTCTCCGCAAGGGTGGATCCAGTCCCAGGGACGCAGTGGCTTGCATCCCGCAAGTTGAATCACGAATATCATCCCCGCCATCGTACCATTTATCTTCGTCTATCGTTGGCTAGTCTTGGCCTCCGCACGGCTTTTGGCGATCAATGCCCAAGTCTTAGCGGCCCTGCGACGCAATTGGCTGGAAGCAGACATGATGTCGAACTAACAGCTGATGTGAGGGAGGCGGCGGAGGCAGGAGGAGGAGGAGGAGGAGGAGGAGGAGGAGCAGGGGCATTACGCCGCACTGGCTGTATTGCGAAGGTCCGTACATCGTAAAACCATGATGCTTCAGCTGCTGCTGCTGCTGCTGAGTGATGATGGCGACGATGATGATGGGTGTGTTGTTGCTGTTGGTGTTGGTGTTGGTGTTGTTGTTGCGGTTGTTGTTGTTGTGATTGTTGTCGGTGGTGATGACGATGATCATGCGGATGACGATGATGCTGATGATGCTGGTGCCGCTGCTGATGATGCTGATGATGCTGTTAATGATGATGACGATGCTGATGTTGATGCTGCTGCTGATGCTGTTGCTGATGATGATGTTGTTGCTGATGATGTAGATGATGATGATGATGCTGATGATGATGATGATGCTTCCGGCGGTGCTGGTGACGACGATGATGGGATGTCGCTGCTGATGACGATGATGATGACGATGCTGATGGTGCCGATGATGACGGCTATGCTGATAATCATGATTATGGTGATGATGATGAGGAGGAGACTGATGATGGTGGTGGTGGTGATGATGGTGGTTATGGTGCTGATGATGCTGATGCTGATGCTGGGGATGATGATGATGATGATGATGATGATGATGATGATGATGATGATGATGATGATGATGATGATGATGATGATGATGATGATGATGAGGGTTCTGATGATGACGACGGTCATGACGATGCTGACGATGATGTTGATGTTGATGCTGATGCTGACGATTATCATGACGGGACTGATGATGACGATGTTGATGATGCCGATGATGCTGATGCTGATGCTGATGCTGATGCTGATGATGATGGTGATAGTGATGCTGATGATGCTGATGATGATGCTGATGATGGGGAAGCCTGGTGATACTGCTGGCAATGATGATGGTGCTGTTGTTGTTGACGTTGATGCTGATGATGCTGATGCTGCTGATGATGCTGCTGCTCATGATGATGATGATGACGCTGCTGATGATGCTGCTGATGATGATGCTGCTGCTGCTGCTGATGATGAGATGTGCTGAATGCCATCATTCAGATGCTGATGCTGATGCGGATTCTGCTGCTGACGCGACGGTGATGTCGATGCTGCATAGCTGCTGCTGGCCATGCTTCTGCTCACGGCGACGACGATGGTGACCGCGACGTCGACGAAGACGACGCTGATGATGATGTGGTGGTGGAGCTGATGCTGATGATGATGATGATGATGCTGTTCACGATGATGATGATGATGATGATGATGATGATGATGATGATGATGATGATGATGATGATGATGATGATGATGATGATGATGATGATGATGATGATGATGAGGAGGAGGATGATGATGATGATGATGATGATGATGCTGATGATGATGATGATGATGATGATGCTGCTGACGATGACGATGATGATGATGCCGATGATACTGATGATGATGATGCTGCCAAGGTTGATGATAATGATGCCGATGCTGTTCATGATGGTGATTCTGCCGACGATGCTGATGATGCTGATGATGATGTCGATGACGATTCTGATAACGATGATGCTGGTGGTCGTGGTTGTGGTGTTGGTGGTGGCGATGCTGTTGGTGGCACTGATGGTGAGGCTGCTGATGATGGTGTTGCCGTTGCGGCTGCTGAACGGTCTTCATCATGCGAGAGTGGTGTTAGTGATGATGGCAATGTTGGTAGTGATGATCATGCGGATGGCGATGATGATTGCCATGATGAGGATGCTGATGATGACGGTGATGTATACGCGGATGTGGATGCGGATGAGGATGAGGATGCTGATGCCGATGATGATACTGCTGATGATGATGATGATGCTGCTGATGATGATGATGATAGTGATCACGATGACGGTGTCGACGACGACTACTATGATGAAGATTATGATCATGCCGATGCTGATGCTGATGATGATGCTACTGACCATGATGCTGATGCTGATCGCGACGATGACGATGATGACGATAACGATGGCGATGATGCTGCTGATGATGCTGATGACGATGTTGGGCATGCTGATGATGCGGCTGCTGATGCTGATGATGGTGATGCTGATGGCAAGGTTGATGATGGCGAGGAGGAGGACGACGCCGATTATGATGATGCTGTTGCTGATGCTGACGATGATGATGATGATGATGATGATGATGATGATGATGATGATGATGATGATGATGATGATGATGATGATGATGATGATGATGCTGATGATGATGATGATGATGATGATGATGATGATGGCGACGATGATGATGCTGATGCTGATGCTGATGCTGATGCTGGCGATACTCATGATGATGAGTATGCCGGCGATGCTGATGCTGATGCTGATGCTGATGATGATGGTGATGATGATGGCGGTGTTGGTTTTGATGATGCTGATGATGACGATGATGATGATGATGCTGATGCTGATGCGATCATGGCGATGATGGCGATGATGAAGCTGACGATAATGGTAACGATGATGATGACGATGGCAGTGGTAACGATACTGATGCTGATGCTCATGATGATGATGCTGATGCTGATGAGTATGATGATGATGATGATGATGATGATGATGATGATGTTGCTGATGATGATGCCGATGATGACGACGATACTGATGCTCATGATGCAGATGATGCTGATGATGATGATGATCATGATGATGATGACGATGCTGATGCTGATGATGAGTATGATGCTGATGATGATGATGCTGATGCTGATGCTGCTGATGATAACGACGATTATGATGATGATGATGATGATGATGGTGATGATGATGGTGCTGATGCTGCTGATGATGATGCTGAACATAATGATGATGATGCTGATCATGATGATGATGCTGATGATGATGATTATGGTGATAATGATGAAGATGATGATAATGATGATGATGATGATTATGGTGCTTATGATGATGCTGATGCTGATTGTGATGACGATGGCGACGATGATGATGAAGATGATGATGATGATGATGATGATGATGATGATGATGATGATGATGATGATGATGATGATGATGATGATGATGATGCTGATGATGACGATGGTGGTGGTGGTGGTGGTGATGCTGATGATGATGCTGATGATGATGATGATCATGACGTCTGTTATGATGATGAGGATGATGCTGATGATGAGGAGGATAATGAGGAGGAGGAGGAGGATACTGATGATGGGGGATGAAGATGGGAAGGACGATGATGATCATGAGGAGGACCGTTCAGCCTTGTCGTCATGGCAGGCTTGGCGGTGTCCAGTTGGTGTTTGGGGCGAAGCGCGTGGCCGCCCTTTTCGCTCGCAGGGAGGCAGGGGGGAAGTTGGAGGAGAAGGAGGAGGAGGAGGAGGAAGAGCAGGAGGAGCAGGAGGGAGGAGGACAGAAGAGGAGGTGGATGATGAGGAGGATGTGGAGGAGGGGCAAGGAGGACCAGGAGGAGGAGGAGGAGGCGGAGGAGGAGGAGGAGGAGGAGGAGGAGGAATCGGAGGAGTGGGGTGGTGGAGGGGATGGAGGAGGAAGGGGACGAAGAGGCGTTGGAGGCGGAGAAAGTGCAGGTGCCGTCGTCTTCGAAGTCATCGTCGCCGTCTTCGTCGCAGCTGTTGCCGTCGGCGTGGACGTCGTGGTCTTGATGCGTGTTGCTCTTCTCGGGGCTTGTTTTGCTGCAGCGTCCACCACCGTCCTCCTTTGCGCTCCCCCTCTTCTCTCGTACTCCTGTTTCTCTCTCCTCCAGTTCCTCCTGCCGTCCTCCGCTTTCCTCCTCGTCCTCGTCTCCGTCCTCGTCCACGTCGTCCTCGCCCACGTCGTCCCCGTGCACGCCGTGGTCGTCATTTTCATCGTCGTCCTGCTCCTCCTCCTTGTTCCTTCCTCCTCGTCCTCCTCCTGGTCCTCCTCGTCGTTGTCCTTGAGCTCCTCCCCGTCTTCTCCTCCTTCCTTCCCTCCTCCGGCCCGCTCTCCCTCTGCCTCCCCCCCCCCCACTGCGCGCGTCCAGGCTGTGCTCGCGGTCGTGGCGTACGCGCTGAAGGGCATGTTCACGAAGAAGTCACCGTCCTGAGCAGCCGGGGCGTCGTCCGCGGTCGACGCGCGGCATCCTTCCCCATACCCTCGATCCTCGATCAATCGATCTTCAATCGATCCTCGATCCTCGATCCTCGATTGATCGATCTTCGATCTTTCCTCGATCGATTCGCGGTCCTCTATTCTCGGTCTTTGATCGGTTCTCGATCCTCGATCATCGATGTATCCTTGAGGGTCCAATGTTCAAACGAGGGAGGAGGAGGGAGGTATTACCTAAATGGTCGAGGCTCGAGGGATGAGGCTCGATGGACGAGGCACGAGGGACGAGGTTTCGAGGTTCGAGGGTGGAGGCTCAAGGGGTCGAGGTTTTTTCAGGGGCCAGGGTCGATGTTTCAGGGTCGAGGTTCCAGAGTCCAGGGTCGACGATCCGCCATAGTCGAGGGTCGAGGTTGCAGGGTCGCGGTTGGGCGGCCTCGGCCCTCTATGCATTCTCAGGAGGCCTTCCAGGGACCTCCAGGGACCTCGGGAGACACCGTCGTCGTTGTCGTCGTCGCTGTCGCCTTCGTCGTCGTCGTCGTCTTCGTCGTCATGACCGTCTGTAGTAGTCCGTCGTCGTCCGTCGTCCGTCGTCCGTTGTCCGTCTATTGTCCATCGTCGCCAGTCGTCCTGCGTCGCCGCCGTCGTCGTCGTCGTCGCCCGTTGCCCGTCGTCCATGGTCTGTCGTGCGTTGTCGTCGTCGCCGTCATTCGCTGTCCGTCGCCCGTCGTTGGTCCGTTATCCGTCGTCCGCTTCCCGTGAAGTTTTTCCCAACTTTCTTGTGGTGGATTCTCGTTTTGAATAGAGCACTGGTATGCACTCCTTCTCCTTCGCCTCCCCCCTCCTCCTACCTTCTCCTGCGCTGCTCCCTGGGTTGCTGCGAACTGCGCAGCTGTCGCCACTTTCATTGGCTCCTTGGATGCACGGCGGATTAGCGGAGTACACGAGACCTCGTAGCTCCCTGGGTGGTTGCGCATGGCGTAGTTGTCATCACTTTCTTGGGCTCCGGTGGGGCACAGCGGAGTGGCGGAGTAGCGGAGTACGCAGGACCTCGCAGCTCTCTTAGTGGTTGCGCACGGCGCAAGTATCATCATTTTCTAGGTCTCTTGGGAGGCACGGTGGAGTAGCGGAGTACGCGCGACCTCGCAGCTCCTTGTCCTTATCTGGTTGCGATCGGCGCAACTGTCATCACTCCAGTGAGCTCCTGGAAGGCACGGTGGAATAGCGGAGCGCGCGCGACCTTGCAGCTCCTTGGGTCTGGTTGGCTGCGCACGGCGCAACTGTCATCACTGTCGTGGGCTCTTGGGAGGCACGGCGGAGTGGCGAAGTACGCGCGGCCTCGCAGCTCTCTTGGTGGTGCGAACGGCGCAACTGTCATCACCTTCGTAGGGCCCTGGGAGGCACGGCGGAGTAGCAGAGTACGCGCGACCTTGCAGCTCCCTGGGTGGCTGCGACTGGCGCAACTGTCATCACTTTCGTGGGCTCCTGGGAGGCACGGCGGAGTTGCGGAGTACGCGCGACCTCGCAGCTCCTTGTCCTTATCTGGTTGCGATCGGCGCAACTGTCATCACTTCAGTGAGCTCCTGGAAGGCACGGTGGAATAGCGGAGTACGCGCGACCTCGCAGCTCCTTGGGTCTGGTTGGCTGCGCACGGCGCAACTGTCATCACTGTCGTGGGCTCCTGGGAGGCACGGCGGAGTGGCGAAGTACGCGCGACCTCGCAGCTCTCTTGGTGGTGCGAACGGCGCAACTGTCATCACCTTCGTAGGGCCCTGGGAGGCACGGCGGAGTAGCAGAGTACGCTCGACCTTGCAGCTCCCTGGGTGGCTGCGACTGGCGCAACTGTCATCACTTTCGTGGGCTCCTGGGAGGCACGGCGGAGTTGCGGAGTACGCGCGACCTCGCAGCTCCTTGTCCTTATCTGGTTGCGATCGGCGCAACTGTCATCACTTCAGTGAGCTCCTGGAAGGCACGGTGGAATAGCGGAGTACGCGCGACCTCGCAGCTCCTTGGGTCTGGTTGGCTGCGCACGGCGCAACTGTCATCACTGTCGTGGGCTCCTGGGAGGCACGGCGGAGTGGCGAAGTACGCGCGACCTCGCAGCTCTCTTGGTGGTGCGAACGGCGCAACTGTCATCACCTTCGTAGGGCCCTGGGAGGCACGGCGGAGTAGCAGAGTACGCTCGACCTTGCAGCTCCCTGGGTGGCTGCGACTGGCGCAACTGTCATCACTTTCGTGGGCTCCTGGGAGGCACGGCGGAGTTGCGGAGTACGCGCGACCTCGCAGCTTCCTAGGTGGTTGCGAACTGCGCATTTGTTGTGTCGTTGGCTCCTGGGAGGCACGGTGGAGTAGCGGAGTACGCGCAAACAGTCGAGACCTCGCAGTTCAATTGGGGACTGCGAACTGTGTATTCGTCGCCGTTTTCGTGGGCTCGTGGGATGTTCAGCGCAGTTTGGGCCACGCGGATCCAGCCGAGGCCTCGCAGCTCCCTGGAAGGCTAGCGCAATTGTCGCCACTTTCGTGGGCTCCCGGAAGGCACGCCGGAGGTTACTTATCTCCAGATATGCACGATCAGGGCTGCCCTCATTGAGGGCAGCCCTGATCGTGCATACCTGGCGATGTGTTCTTGTCTATGGAGCGTGCACAAATGTTCGCCTCGCGTGGAGAAGGGGTCGGGTACGTCTCGGGTAATTTGCCTCTTCGCCTCCCTTCTGTGGAGGCCTGCCAGGGGGGCCTTTAGCGCCCTCCCCCTCCTCGCTCTCCTCATGTCCGACCCTCGTTCCTCGATCCTCGATCGATCGATCCCGTATCCTCGGTCCTCGATCCTCGATCGATCCTCGAATCTCCATCGATCCTTGATTCTTGATCGATCGATCCTCGATCTCTGATCCTCGAACAGTACGTGATCCTCCTCGTTCGCGTCCGCATGCTGCTCGAGCAACGGGATGACGCCAACCTTGCGGAATAGTCCTAGATGCTCGGGGGGTGCTCCCCGAAGCAGACGAGTGCGACGAGTTCACCCACGCCCTCCTCGCCCATGGCGACTAGGCCCGCGGCGATCCCACGCCTGGTGGGGCGACCGTGACGAGCAGCTCCTGCGTACGGAACCTCAGGCCCTTCGGGCAGGAGGCATGCACCCGCACCAACGGTCGAACGCGTAGACTGGGCACACAGGGCAAGCGAAGCGAGGCCCACGACGACGACGACGACGACGACGACGAGGACGAAGACGACGACGACGACGACGACGACGACGACGACGACGACGACGACGACGACGACGAGAGGGACGACGACGACGACGACGACGACGACGACGACGACGACGACGACGACGACGACGACGACGACGAAGCGAGGACGTGCACGTACACGCACCTCCCTCGCCCGCGGGGCCGCCGCGTGGAGCGGCTCGGCCCGCATGCTGGCCAGTGGCTCCACTCAACTGCAGCATACCGTGAGCTTCGTGGGGAGTGCGTCGGCGGTTTTGAAAAGTGCAATACACACATCAACTCGGGGGTCCGCGCGGACCCGACGACATTTGTATGTTTATGCCACTCTTCGTCACCCTGGGGGTAGCCGTGCCATCGGTGCCAGGTGCACCGGCGCCAGCCGATAGCTCACGAGGGCTGCACCGTTGTTGGCATATGGTGCCGCGGTAGCGGCTCTGCGGTGCAGTCGGACCGAGGCATGAGGTCGAGGTCGGTTCAGGGAGGGTAGCCCCGTGCTCTTCGTGCTTGCTGGCTGCTCTTGTGCATCCTGGTGAGGCTACCCTTGGCTGTTCTGTTCTGCTTGTTTTGGCCGACGGAGGGTCTCATGTTCTTGAAGGATGTTCTTCGGGCCCACGCCCGACGGCATTTCTATCCTCGGGGCCGACGGCGCTGCCCACGAACGGCGCCCCCGCGCCGGGGCGCCTCGTTCGCGTCGCCCGCTTGGCTCTCTCCTCGTCCTCGGCCCTCGCCGTCCTCACCCTTGCCGTCGTCCTGCCCCCCTCCAATTCCTGCCCCCCTCCCTTTCTGCCGCCGCCGCCGCCTCCTCCTCCTCCTCCTGCCCTTCCTTGCCATTCTCCTCGTCGTCCTCCGCGTCGTCGTCCTCTCTTCCTCCGCCTCTGGCCCTCTCCGCCGCTCCCCCTCTCGGTTCTCAAAAAATCTGCCTGTGCGTCTTCTTCTTTCAACATCCTCGTCCTCGTCCTCCTACTTTTTTGGTCTTGCTCCTCTTCCTCTTCCTCATCCTTCGTTCTCTCTCCTTCCTCCCCCCTCCCTCCTCTCTCCCTCCTGCCTCCCTCCCGCCCTCCTTCCCTCCCTCACTCCTCCCTCCCCCCTCTCCTCCCTCCCTCCCTCCCCCTCCCTCCCTGCCCTCCTTAAAAAAAACCATCCACCCCATCCCGCACTCCCCCCCTCCTTCCTCCCTCCCTCTCCCTCCTCCCTCCTCTCCCTCCTCCCTCCTCCCCGTCCCTCCCACCCTCCCTTCCTCCTTTCCCACCTGCCCCCTGCGTCGAGCGCCGTGCAGCAGGCCTGGCTGCCGGCTTACCCCTCAACGCACTCTTCTGCCCATGGGGGGGGGGGCTGCCTGCTGCCGAGTGCCCTCGTGCGAGCCCGGCGCACGACCCACTGCCTGCCAACGTGACCGCCCTCAACATTGCGGGTGTTTTCTCTTTTGGGGCAGCGGTTGAAAGCGACGAATGCCATATCGCTGCAATATGTTCGGGTCTTCAGGTGGCGGGAGTTGCCGTCGCTGTAATCTCGGAGACCCGCTTGGCCCCTGGGATCCCCTGGCCGGATTGGTCGGGCCACGAGTTCCGCGGCGAGCGTTGTATCGGGCCCGCGACCGTTGCCTTGTTGATCTCCACTCCGCTGCGCGAGAGAGCGTGGTCAGTGTTGGCTGTCGGTGATTCCCGCGCGGTGCGGTGCGAGCTCCCCGCCAAGGATGGCCCGGGCGTCTTGCTGCTCGGCGTGTGCGCGCCGCCGCCGCA